TTGAACATGACAATGAGTTCACTGTACTCAAATGGCCTCCACAGTCACCAGATCTCAATCCAATAGAGCATCTTTGGGATGTGGTGGAACGGGAGATTCGCATCATGGATGTGCAGCCGACAAATCTGCGGCAACTGTGTGATGCCATCATGTCAATATGGACCAAACTCCCTGAGGAATGCTTCCAGCACCTTGTTGAATCTATGCCACCAAGAATTGAGGCAGTTCTGAAGGCAAAAGGGGGTCCAAAAAGTTACTAGCATGGGGTACCTAATAAAGTGGCCGGTGAGTGTATATTGAAGAAGAAAGACGATGAGGAGGAAAACTCTACAATGTTTCTGTTTTCAATTCAAGCCACAATAATGCTGGAAGATACCAGTAACAAGTTTATTTTTCTTAAGGTATCCATTGAATTTTGTCCTTTGCAAATATGATTTTGCAGAAGTTTTATATCGTGTTCAAACTGCACTATGGTCCGTTGTTTAAGTAGACATTATTAGATGTCTTTCTTTTTACCATTGCAAATTTATAAGAACTGGTAAAAAAATGCAGCTCCAAGACACAGAGAGAAATCAATTATACTGTGAATTTCCCAAATGTCTTTGCTTTCTTTAAAATCTTTATCTCAGAGGCATCACAGCAACGACACATGTTTCATTCAAGCTCTGATATCAGCTATGATTGGGTTTCTGCTCAGTAGTTCTTAGAATAAATAACTGTAACATTTATTCTACCTAATTTGTTTTTCCGCGGCTAAACTGAACATGTCGTTAGGAGTCAGCAGTTCAACCTTTTCTGTTTCCAGTACCAGCTGCTGCATCGCTGCGTTCCCCCCCTCCGTCCCCTCATACCTGCTCATGTTTCCAGCTGGAAGTGAAGCAGGCCGCTCAGTGGACTGCAGCCTGTGGCTGAGAAATATCTGTGACAGCTCAGACTAAGCCTGTGGCAGTGGGGTGGTTCATATTAAGGGAGGCTGTTCTAGCCCATACCTTTTATTTCAGGGGGAACCATTCCTCCATGTTTATTTTAGGTGCTTAAAAGCTTTTTCTGTTCAGTCTCCTATTGGGGGACTATCCACTGGAATTTATTTATAAGTATTGAGTGGCAAGGGAATCTAAAAATGATATAATGCAACTAGGGATGAACGATATTGGGATTTTGGCCGATATCCGATATGCCGATATTTTAAAACTCATGTAACCGATATCGATACCGATGTTAAAGCTGGACAAAAATAAGTAGTCATTGAAAATAGCAGTTTTGTTATCCATTTCTGACACTTTGAAAAATAATATACTCAAATATATTTTCATATGCTGATATCAAATAGATTTTTAAAAACGCGGTATCGATCTATTTTACTTTCAAAATCTGGTGAAATTTCATCTTTCTGTTACAAACTCTCGTGATATTTTGCAAATTCTTGTGAGATTTTGTTAGTAAAATAGATCGATACCGCGTCAATATATAAACATATAAAAATATGGCAAAATTTCGTGCATTTTCGGGGGATTTCGTAGCATAACGATGACATATAGCAATATTTCATTAGTAAAAGAGATTGATATGGTGTTTTTAAATGGCAATATATCAGCATATGAAGATATTGGGATATTTTAATGTATCAATATTTTTTCCCTCGTCTTTAGAAGTTTTTAAGTCTGTAAAAAAGAAGCTTTTGAGGAAGAAGAAGAAGTAGTATTTCTTTTTTTTTTTTAGACTTTAGAAACTCAGAAGCTGATCAAATATCGGGTTAAATATCGGTGGGGTGGCCGATGTCCGATATTCAGTTTTAAGGCCGATACCGATAGGGGGCCGATTATATTGTGCATCCCTAAATGCAACATATTTTTAAATCTACAATTTATGCTTCTACAATAAAACTAGAATAAAACTGTTTATATATGTAATGTAGACATGAATAAATAAGCAAATTACCAGAATCTTCAAAAAGATAGTTGAACAATAAGCTGCAATTGTTAAGGATAAAAAAAAGAGAGAGAGATTTATGGTAAATAAATTAATGATGAGAAACAGAATAGAAATTTTAGTTTTTTTTTATTCTAATAATAAATATTTAAATATATGCTGATGGTGAAAAATCTCCATTCAAGACTTTTTAAGGTAAAAAAACACCTTAAAAAATTGTAACTTAAAGCTGAGATGAAAACGACAACTAATCAGCATGAAAAAAAACTTTAATTGCCTCTTTGTTTTTCTTGCATTAATTATTTTTTGTCCTAATTAAATAGCCCTCCAAAGGTTCGAACCCTCATGTTTAATTTAATGATGCCTTGTTAGACAAACAGTTTCAGAAAATATCATCTAATAAACAGATGAAATAAACAATCGTCAATCTCTTCAGTAAATATCAGCACTGCAAGCAAAGGGCCTCTCCGGGAAAAATGGAAGGAATTCTTAATTGGCCTTAAATCTGTAGATTAACTTCTGTTGAATCACGCTATAAAAAAGATAACTAGCAATTCTTTTACTTTTTAGAGACAGTGAGAGAGGAAGGTGTTAGGAATGAGAAAAACTGAGTAAGACATAATAATAATAATACAAAAAAGGCCAGAAATTTTACCAGCTGTGTCTCTAAATATCTTGCACCAAAATGAATGCGCTAAATATGAAAAATTATTTCTATCTACTCTCTTTAGAGTTCATGAGACCAACACTACAATTAAAAATACACTGTAAAACCTAACATTCAGTGTACTAAAAGATTTTATATGAACAGAACTCAATTCTGAAGAACTTATACTTAACAAAATAATGTAAACAAAAAAACAGGACAAAAATATAATTGATAATTCAATAAATTTAAATTGGGTTCATGCAAAGAAAAAAGTTAAGTATTTCAAAGTGGTGGGGTCTTACTTAAATTAACACGAAAATCAAACCTGATTGGCTGACTGTTTGCTGGTGGGCGTGGCCAGTGCTGCAACACCATACGGTTGTGTTATAATCAACGGTCATTGTAAAAAAATTATATTTTTATCTGTTCTATTCATACATAATAATAACACTCATTTAAAATTACTTTAATTCTTGATTGTGTAAATTACTAATAGAGTAATTATCATTTTATGCTTTATCTTGAACAACGATTGTATATTTTTATTATTATTTGGGAGTTAAATGGGGAGACTCTTTTAATTAGTTAAGATAAACAAAATCTCACTGGACTATTTTTAGCGAAACTAACTCAAATGACTGTTTTCAATAATTGCTATGAGGAACATAGACTTTAAAAAACATGGAGACATTAAGAACAAATGAAGAACTTCAAAATAAATTGACTTATTGTAAATAAAAACGAAAAAAATTCAAATTATTATTATCTTACATTTTTATTTCTAGAGGACACTTTTTTTTTAACATAAATTTAAATTAGTTGACTCCACGCTTATTTGGGTTTGAACCGTTTATAAACTTTCTATGATGCTTAACAAAAATAGAGATTATGAAAAAAAAAAAAACCTTTTAGACCCACTTAAACTATTAATATATAACATAACAAAAAAAATCCGTTCAGATCAAAACATTTAATTCAATATAATTATACTTAAAGGGATTTAAATTTCCTCTGGTTTAATAAAGTAACAACATAAACGGCTGCAGCTTGTAGGGAAGCCATTTATAGCAGCTCATCCAATTTAACAGTGAGAGAGGCCTGTTATGTTCCCCTAAATACTGGCTGTTAGAAGCTTCTAAATAATAAATCTAAAACACCTCTCGCTGCTTCTTTAGACCAACAGCGCAAAATAAAACGCCTGCATTTAAACAGCAGCTCAGTTTATGCTTCCAGCGCGTTAATGCAGATATAACGCAGATTAAAACTTGGTTTGGAGGCATATAAAGGAAGAAATCCACATCCGACAGGCCATCAGGGGCCAAATTAAATACTGCTAAATAATAATAACTCACTGCCCTTTTTTAACTTTAACATCGAAAACCAGATTCTCCTGCAAAAATGCAGCAGGTTGGATAATAAAAATTACCTAAAAAAATCAGTTTGCACAATATTTTGATCAATATCTATTGGCTGTTAATCCCGGTAAGCCCCAATAAATAGTAGTTTTCCGCTCATTTTACTGCAGAAATATAATAGAAAAAGTGCTGGATAATCGTTTCCAATGAGTTACAGTTGTTCAAACAGTAAACTATTTACAGAGCAGGCGGTTTATGGCTGAGCAGCAACACTTAATGACTTTTTATTGATTCCATGTTTTCCTATATTTTTAACTGCAGGAGTTAAAGCTGCTTTAAAGGGATGATTGAGATTCATTCAAATGAAAACATTTCTAACTTAAGCTCTTGTCAGATTTTTCAATAAAGGTCTAACATTTTTTTTCTTCTGCAACAATTTCTCGTAATTTAAGGGTTTTTTATCTTCTCAGCACAAAAAAATTGAGTTTTGACTAAATCTCGCATATTTAGCATGGATATTTCTTTGGAAAAGACATGACATTATGTTCCATTTATTTTTTTTTTCTTTAAATATCTCCACAAATTGTTCTAAAAAAAAAAAGCGCCTTAAGCCAGGGCACAGTAGGAACCAAAGCCGTTATATTCAATCTCTAATTGCATTAATGTCATGTGTTGTGTCTCCCGCGTGTTTACCAAAAAAGCTCCCCCCCAGCCCACCCCCGCACCTCTAGATCCTGACCTCCCACTCCTGGTGGCTGCATAATAGCGCATCAGGCAGGCTGCGGCTCTGTTCGGGCCTCATTCAGACCGCCTGCAGGTTGGAGCGCTGCGCTGCGCCGCGCTGCCTCTCATCCACTGTGAGTTCAAGCTACCGAGGCGGCATCAGCTCCAGCATCAGCTTCACCATTTCTCTTTCGCCCCCCGACAAACCTTCACGGAGCTTTTAGCATTTGTTCGGTCTGAGGTCTCTGGAAAACATCTGATTTGCTTTTTTCCTAACCAGAGCCAGATGCGCCTCGCTGCGTGAGGTGCGTGCGTCCGAGCGCGTCAGCGTGAGTTTTGTCAGCGCATGAGAATTAGGAGAGAATATCTGCAGTCTGTGGCAAGGGAGGGAAAGAGAAGAAGAAGCAAAAGGATTTCATTTTTTTTAACTGTAACTTTTCGGTATGAATGCTGATACCTGCGTCTCATACTGTGACATGACATCCATGGACTCTTATTACAGCGCGTCTAGTGCGCAGAGTAGAGACCATCAGACAAACCCTTTCAGGACTTTCCAGGCCACCGAAACCAAATACAGCCCGACTTTTATCCCTGGTAAAGGGTCTCGAAGCCCCTTCCAGACAGAATGCCAGTCGCTGGATGGAGCTGAGGAGAGCAACTTTAACAAATACCAGCTCTTCATGCAGAGACCGACCTGCAAGACTCCACCCGAAGGCGGGAAGCTGCACCAGGACGGCGGACACAACGGGACGCTCATCCCCTGCTATGGTAGGTGCGCTTTTAACTATTGGTAACATGCAAGACGTTTGTTAGGCTGATGGAAAGGCTCTGTGATGCATCATGTAATCTGCAGAGGAGGAAATGAGAAACAGCAAGGCTTATCCCATTTGAAGCATTAGATGGTTACATTCAACTGTTTGTGGTGAAGGTTCCTAATTAGACTGCAAGAAAAAAAAAATCAGTGTTCTCTGAACTTCTGGTTGAAGAACATGAAATATTAAAGCTTGCATCCATCATTTGATATTAAGGAATTATTATAAATGTTGGTTTTATCTGGATTATGTCTCTTATTTTATGTGTTTTCATGAACTATAATTTTAGAGCAGCCTTTTTTTTTTGCATTTTGGGTTCATTTTGTCTTCTTTTTTGGAGCTGCAGAATTGTTGTTATATTTACCGGCCTGCAACAGCAGAAACTGCTAATTAAAAAAGGAAGAAATATGTTGAAATAATAATTATAATTATCCTAACAAAAGTAATCCTTTCCCACCACAAATTAAGAAATATGAGTTGAAAAATGAATTGATAGTGTTTTTTCTTCGCCTTTGCTATTACAGATTGATTAATTAATCAACTCCTAAAATAATGACTAAAAAAACGAATAAATAATTCAATAATATCTTTAATTAATAAAGAAAAATGAGCAACTGTACAAGATACCACCTATTTTAATTTTATTTTATATATATATTTATATGTGGATTGAAAATAACAGGACTCATTTACACGGATATTTTGTAATTGCAGTGAGAAAAAAATATTTTTAGGGGGATTTATTACAAGGAGCTTCATAAGCCAATAGAGGTCTATTTACGGGCAGTAAATGTCCCAGATGATCAGTGAAACTGGCGTCCTACTTACTATAAAACATTAGTTTTCATGAATTTTATTTTAAGAGCTCTACTTTTGAGTTTAAACGTTTCAACCCTGCTAATTCTAATTCTAAAGGCTATCTATAACAAATATATGAGCAGCCTTTTATACATGTCTTTAAAATCAAATCTGCCACTTATTGTGCAAATAACACACTATTATGATGAGATGCCAAGCTGCACATATTTAGCTCATCATTCATTGAGGATCAAGCCATAGACCGATTGGCGCCCTTAGATCTTAATTAAACTCCAGATGTTTATCCTGATGTTGAACAAGAGAACAATGCATCATTAGAATTGAATGGAATTATCAACAGGCTATAAAAATATATATTAAGATGCTTTGGTTTTTATGGAACTATTGAAGCCTGATTGATCCATACAGGCTTTCATTGAAATGTTATATTTTTACAGTCTACCAACAGGAAAGGCAAGCTGTTCCTCTCTCCTTTCTTCTCCAAACTACTAGCTTTCCTCTTTGTTTCAGCTTGACCTGTCACTTTTCTCAGTGTGAGAACCCCTGCCTGCGCTGAAAGCGAGCAGATTTGGCAAGTGCATTGACAGACTCGTTTAAACACCGCCATTTAAACTCCGAGATGCGTCCCTGGAGGACGAGCTGTGCAATGTTATTATTGAAAATGTTGCAGCCAGATGAAGGCGTCCTGGCTCTGGGGAGGATGCTTTGGGGTGCTTGCCAAAGCCTCAGGCGTCAACAGGGTTGCGCTGTAATGTGTGGTCCTCGATGGGAGATATATTGCTCAATGCTGATGCTTTATCTCCGTTCTGGTGACAAAAGTCATCTCATGCGCTTGAGGAGAGTTTGCTGTGGTGACTGATGCTGTTTTGATTTTTGGTCTGCAATTTCACATCCAGAAATGTTTCATCCAGAAAAAAATAAAGCTGAAAAAAACAACTAAATGAATGCAACACCTATAAAAAAGGAGAGGTAGCAAAACCAAAGATTAACATTTAAAGCACAACATCTCTTAAAATGATATATTACATCATTTAAGAGCGTTGGATATGAACTGTTTGGAATTTTCCAAAAGTATTTAAGCTTTAAAATCTATTCACTACATCTAAAAAGTAGGGGCTTGGATATTTTTGCAGCGTTCATGTTGTGGATGTCTCCATGCATTGCCTCTACACCTTTAAGATGACAGTGTTCCAAAAGTGTCAATACAATTAAATATTTGTTGAAGAGGAAGGAAAAAACTTTTTTGCAAATATAAATATGAAATTTGGATTCCAAAAATGATTAAAAACAATCCGCTGGATTTTGTTTCCAAGTTTGAAGACGTTTTGCTTCCCATCCAGGAAGCTTTTTCATTAAAAAAAAAAAGTTGGATATGTCTCCGTTTACTCAGATGCACTAAAATAATACTCTCTTAAAGCAAATCCATTTATAAATTAATAAGTTATTAATATCCACTTGCAGAAGGTGAGCATTTATCAGAATATTGGTGAGAATGCAGGTAACTTTAAACAAGCTGCAGACATTATCAGCTCTGTTAATGGGGCAGCTATTAGCTATGTAGTCCGCAAAATGAGGAACGAAAGAAAGAACCTATTTCGTCAAATGACATCCACCGTATCCCGCTAAAATGTGAAAGAAGGTATCATACTCAGATGAGTTTACAATTGTTATTTTTTGCAAACAGTGCATGAACACATCTTGTCTAATGTGAAACATGGTGATGGCAGCATCATGATATGAACACTTCAGATACGCTTTTTGTAAAAACAAGACAATTTCCTTTACGCTCTCCATTTTTTTGTGCACAGCTGTTAGCCTCTTATGAAGACTCAGCGAAACACACAGACTGGTGGATGCCATGCAACAGAATCATGTGGCAGCAATGTTCTTGCACTGCACGGTATTCCTGCAACGTTGTATTTCAGGCTGTTGGAGTGAGTTTATTTAAAAGCACGTTAATCCATCCAACGCCGTGTGAACTCCGAGTGTGGACAGAGACAGGGCCGCTTTACCTGCTGGCAGAGCACTGAATGAAATAAACGCCCCTGGAGCTGATCGAGAGCTCAGGAATGCAGGTCAGCTCCGCAGGAGAGGTCTGGATTAATGTAAGGCAGATGTGCATTACTGGCTCCTTTCTGTTATTATTCATACTCCCCCATAACATCAGCCCTCCGAAGCTACAGAGCCCCGAGACGAAAAAGTGGGACTGGTTTACATAACCTTGTCTCAACAATACTTTATACAAATAAACAGAGAGACAGAAGTGGACAAGGAGATTGGGTAATGATTTGAGAGGCTCTGGAGAAATGAGAGTGTTTCTGGGAAAGCCTCACTTTGTGCCGAAGAGTCTGTTTACATGCAAGCGCTTCACTGAACCCATTGCTGAATCTTGGGTTTTTACATTTAAGTCCCCATTACTGATAATTACTGCGGTTTGAAAAATCTTTTCAGTGCGGATAATATTCGAACACCTGATGGATAAGGCTCAAAGTCCGTCTATTTTCATTCAAAATATTAGCAACAAATTCTACATTGAGAAGACACATCAATCATGTCAATCTGAGCACCGCACGACGACTTTATAAGCGCCTCGGAGGGACATGGAACATCCTGGAATATGTAAAACATTTTCTTAGCATTTGGAAACCAAAACCCAACTTCGGAAAGGCCCTGGCAGTGCTTCAGAAAGGAATCAATTCAAAATATAGAACTCAGAGTAGATGTTTAAAAGGGCTCATGCTGTGATGTCACAGGATATGCATGTACTGATGGCTAACACATTGTGTGGTTAACAAAATCAACGAGGTGACACCCATAGTCTTCCTCATGTTTGCGTATGTTCTAGAATAAATTAGAATATGTAATAAATGGAAACCTGACAGGGTCAGTTCTTGCCTCGCTATGCCTACAGAGGAATGTGGGACGGGAAGGAAGACTTTTTATTAGGGATGCACGATATAATCGGCCCCCTATCAGTATCGGCCTTAAAACTGAATATTGGACATCGGCCACCCCACCGATATTTAACCCGATATTTGATCAGCTTCTGAGTTTCTAAAGTCAAAAAAAAAAAAAAGTAAATACTACTTCTTCTTCTTCCTCAAAAACTTATTTTTTACAGACTTAAAAACTTCTAAAGACGAGGGAAAAAATATTGATACATTAAAATATCACAGTATCTTCATATGCTGATATATTGCCATTTAAAAACACCATATCAATCTCTTTTACTAATGAAATATTGCTATATGTCATCGTTATGCTACGAAATCCCCTGAAAATTTACGAAATTTTGCCATATTTTTATATGTTGATATATTGACGCGGTATCGATCTATTTTACTAACAAAATCTCACAAGAATTTGCAAAATATTTTGCAAATATTTTGCAAATGTTACAGAGTTTGTAACAGAACGATGAAATTTCACGAGATTTTGAAAGTAAAATAGATCCATACCACGTTTTTCAAAATCAATTTGATATCAGCATATGAAAATATATTTGAGTATATTATTTTTAGGGATGCACGATATTGGGATTTTGGCCGATATCCCATATGCCGATATTTTAAACTCATGTAGTCGATAACCGATATCGATACTGATGTTAAAGCTGGACAAAAATAAGTAGTCATTGAAAATAGCAGTTTTGTTATCCATTTCTGACACTTTGAAAAATAATATACTCAAATATATTTTCATATGCTGATATCAAATAGATTTTTAAAAATGCGGTATCGATCTATTTTACTTTCAAAATCTGGTGAAATTTCATCGTTCTGTTACAAACTCTCGTGATATTTTGCAAATTCTTGTGAGATTTTGTTAGTAAAATAGATCAATACCGCGTCAATATATCAACATATAAAAATATGGCAACGTTTGGTGAATTTTCGGGGGATTTCGTAGCATAACGATGACATATAGCAATATTTCATTAGTAAAAGAGATTGATATGGTGTTTTTAAATGGCAATATATCAGCATATGGAGATATTGGGATATTTTAATGTATCAATATTTTTTCCCTCGTCTTTAGAAGTTTTTAAGTCTGTAAAAAAGAAGTTTTTTAGGAAGAAGAAGAAGTAGTAGTTTTTATTTTTTTTTAGACTTTAGAAACTCAGAAGCTGATCAAATA